GCCAAGGACAATGGCACGGGGTTTTGATCCTATTTCATGTTCTAGCTTTGTGGGAGCCTAGCCAGTTTGGATGTTCACCTTCCTAGACCTGGTTGGAGGGGGAAGTCCTTGGACTTTTCACTGGGCAGGGAACCCTGACTGCTCTTTGGAGCGGAGAGGGCGGGGGAGAGGGGCGGTAGGAGGGGGAGGGAAATGGAGGCAGGGAGGAGGCAGAAATTTCTTTTTTTTTGAATAAAAAGAAAGAGCCTAGACTCATGTCAGCAGTTATTGATCTGGAGACATCTTTGCCACCCTAGCTCTGGGAATTTATACCTTGAGCCACAGAGTCTATTTAATCATCTGTACACCATGAGCATTGGGCGTTGTAGCACGGGATGTAAAATGTACTTGTATCTTCTCTCTTGGAACATCAGTCCATAAATAATAACATGGATACTCATGATTAATTATAAAACCACTACCTTCAGTTAGGCTTGTTTCTATATATGTTGGAGGCTGTGAGAGTTACAACAGGTGAAAACTACTGTTGAGATATCAACCAACCAGAAGAACAATTCTCTGATGAAGGTTAATCCTGTCTGGGCAAAGCACACAGGACTACTGATTTTAGAAATTGTTGCTCATATTTTCTAAATCATCTTGCTATCTCCCACAAACCTGCATTGAAGTGTGTAATCTCATGTGATTTGTATTTGTAATCTCATGAATACATCTCAATCTTTTTTTTATTGCGAAAAGAAGAAAAAAACATAAACAAAAAAACAAGTTTCCACCTCCTCCCAGCCTCCCATTTCCCTTCCCCTCCTCCCACCCTTCTCCATCTCAATCTTTTGGGTGCAGATATCTGTGGGATATCTGTGGGTGGTCAGGAAGGTGACTTTTTACTTAGTTGTATAATTTTGATATATAGATACTATGATAGGACATGTTTCATTGAGGGTATATTGTCCCTCAAGCATGGTCGTCACTTGTTACTTTTGCTCAGACTAACTAAACACAATTAGTTCACTTTTATCAGATCAAATTCAAATGAGAGTAAAGGGTTTTCTGTAAGTAGGTAAGTTTAAAACTTTATAGCTATGTACACGGTCAGAATTACAAGTTCCAAACAACATTAGTACACAAATCACCCTAATAAAAGCATGCCAATTCTTTGCTTGTCAATTCTAGCTGATAAAAGACCCGTGGACACTGTGCCTCCAGACTCAGATCACAGTCTTACTCCTGAATCCTTAAAACCTCATGATAAATGTGCAATAGTAAATGGTTCAGTTCATTATCACCATAGTAATGTGCGACTGACCAAGGAGAAATAACTCATGTATAATGATGATTCTTGCTCCAAGCTTCCTACTAAAGATGAGGTTTAGCCTAGAGTAGAAGAAGCTAGGAGGAATTAGAATTGAGACTGCAGAATTAGAAAAAGAGCAAAAAGATAGACATGACTAGAACAGCACATGTTTGAGACTTTCCCCTCAGCTTATGAGTCATTCTAAATTCACTTTACTGTTATGTGGTTTCTACCTGACCTTAGAAGACAGTCTTGCCAAGCAGGCCTCCAAAGCTGTTGATATAATGAGTTCTTATATCATAAATTATTGCATATTTCTTAATCTATCTTCTTTCACAAGGCTCATTAACTCATCTCTGTACTGTCCATCTTCTTTATGTCTGACTGGTGACACCTTTTGTTTTTCCCCAGCATCCTCTCTCTGCCAGGAATTTCTCCTATACTCTTCTGCTCAGCTATTGGCTGTTCAGGATTTTATTACACTGATTACATCGATACATCTTCACACATTTTAAAAATATCTCACAGCATCAATAAAAGGATAAATTCCAATAAATAAATAAAACTTTTGAAGTAGAAATTGTGGCAAGATAAACATCTGTCTTGACTTGAATACTGTTGATTCGGTGTGGGAATGTTCTTAAATTTATTTATTGGAATTTATCCTTTTATTGATGATGTTAGAGTTATGTAAACTTTCCTGCATCATTTTTCCCATTTTAGAAAGGAGAGCAAAAGGAAGATGATGTTAGTGCTCAGTTTGTTTTTGATGGTATTTTTATTGGTCATTAAATACCTGCTCAAATGTTTGCAAATTAAACTCTTGATCTTTATATTTCTTTATTACATAACTTTTGCTCATTGATATTTCCTGAGTAGAAGACAATATGCGCTATTGTAATAGTAATAATTTTTTAAAAATATTACCCAGCTCTGCAACACAGCCAAGGTCTAACACTGGCATGGGCACCATTAGGCATGCTATGTCAGAGCATATTTTTCAGTCAAAAAGAGATACTGTTACATAGAGGGGAACATATTTCAAACTCCTCTTCCAGATTATTGAAGAACATATAACTTTTTGTAACAATAAAGGGAAATAGTACCTGTATTTTAGACATAGACAGTGTGGTCAGTGTTCAAAATAAACTTGCAGCATCTCTAATTATGGGGAAAGAACATCCACTCCACGAAGAAGGTTGAAATAAAGCAATAAACGTCTGTTCTACATATCTATGATTTAGCATTTCACCCACCAATCTCAAACTGGAGCATTCCTGGAGAGAGAAAATTTGAATTCATTTCTAATCCCAAGACACCCACCTTCCTTAAAGAAGAGCATCTACCATAGACTTCAGTATAAATTAGTCTCAATGTGTGTTGAGTCATATCCTGTGGCATTTTACTTTAGGAAAATGTGAGTTTACAGACCTAGAGAACAGTCTATAAAATCTGATTGTATTATGCTCACAAAGTCCCTGTCCCTGAGCTTTCTTTGATGACATATATATCAATACCATTTGTCAAATGTACGTGAATTACAGTACTTTGACATTTTGATATTCCCAAAATATATAACATCTTTAAACACAGAAAAATTGTAGTGAAGTTTTCTGATCTTTCTCCATATTTACTCTTGATCATGATCAATATTAGAGATACATTAGAGGGACTCCACAGTTTCTCAACTTCAAACAATGCTTGTTCTCACACTCTTTTTAAACATTTTCCTGTCCAGTGTGCTTTGAACACATGTGACTCTGGATAAGTTCACTGACCTGTACACAGCACAGAACATTATTCAACAAGCAAAAGAGAATGTTTCAGAATAAAGACTATGATGCTCTCTGTATTTAAAAAATACAAGAAAAGTATCTTATTTTTTGACAACAAGCCATTTTTAATACATTATATACTTCACTATGTCTTTTAAGGAAATAGTCGGTCATAAAGTTTTATGGATTTGATTGGAATTAGACACAGGTATCAGTTTAATGTCACATAAAGATATCGGAATTCTCATTTTACTACATTGTATGAAGTTAATGTGTTTCAAAGAGTGTTCTTAGAAAACAGTATTTTATAAAATAAATTTACTATAGATAAATTATTATAAATCTCAGTGCTATGATTTCTTATATTCTGAGTCTTCATTTTCATCTAAGGATGAGAGAGTCTTGTTTTTCTCACAGTTTGGTACTATGGATTCCATATCCAATCTAATTCCGATCTGGAATTGGATCCTCAACACAGCTCTGACTCCTGACTTTATCACCTATTTTAATCAAGATCTAGAAACTTAAAATTACAAGCAGACTTCAATGACATTAAAACATTGGATTGCATCATTGCTATTTTAATGCACACACAACACTGTTAAACTGTGTTAGTTGTGTCTGATTCGTATAAGACTGCTCAAACAACTGAAATGCCCAAAAATCAAAAGTTAAAACTAACAAACATGACAGAACTAGCTTCTTTATATGAAGAAAAATTAGACTTGGATAGAGCTCTCTAAACACCTCTCTAAGAGAAAGTAGGTGAAATATTTCTAGTATATTGCATCTCATAGTCTATGGTTACTCTTTATTTATTTTTTGAATTTTGTGTTTTTATGCATATGTGCACATTCCTGCCATGGTGGAAAGGTACTAAAAAGACAAATTGGGAAATTAAATTTTATGATTTTTCAGGATTCAAACTCAGGTGATGTGGCTTGGAGGCAACTTTGCCACCTGAGCCGTGCTGATGGTCCCATCAAAGGGAATTATTCATATTCTGACTTGTGTGGCATAAACAAACAACAAGAATATACAAAAGAATGCTTGTTAATAATAGATTATGTAAATTGTTACAAAAGCCTCATGTTTATATTTTTATTTATTTTTATTTTTTTAATTTATTTATTTATTAAAGATTTCTGTCTCTTCCCCACCACCACCTCCCATTTCCCTCCCCCTCCCCCAATTAAGTCCCCCCTCCTCCTCAGCCTGAAGAGCAATCAGGGTTCCCTGCCCTGTGGGAAGTCCAAGGAACCCCCACCTCCATCCAGGTCTAGTAAGTTGAGCATTCAAACTGCCTAGGCTCCCACAAAGCCATGAAATATTTTTCCTTTTAAGATTGCCATAGAGAAGGACATTCATTAGTTTTAACTGTAAAGGACAGGGTTTATTTCACTTACTTTCTTTGTTTTACTTGTTTCAAAAGAATATAATGTATATTAAGAACATTATTTTTTAATTCTCATTCAACATCACTTCAATTAGCTTAAGTACATGGGATTGCTAAATAAAATCTTTGAGCACTGTTATTACTGGAGCAAATGTTAAGTCTTTAGAATAACCTGGAGAGAGCCAAGAAAAATATTCATTCTCCAAAATTTATCCCAGAACAAATACCTCCATGTACATTAGTTACCTGGTGCTAGCTTATCATGCCCAAGCACTATAGATCAAATATATCCTGTTTCACACAGATCCAGCTTTTAGAGTGAGGTCCATTTGCACTCTTCATAGGCAGCACGGACTCTCAATTTCTCTACAAACAGTGGTGACACTGCATTCGTAAGGGTGTGCTTCTTCCTCTCCTTGGTGTTTTTCACGCAGCTGTACCAACCAGGGGATTTGCATATTGCTCCCTAGGGTGGAACTCTCCTTGGAAGTCCAAGTTAAAAGCTCATCTCTCTTTCTGTCTTGACTATTTAGGAATCTTCATATTAAGTTCTCAGAATGACATATCCTTACCAGCTCCTGGGACTGCTTGTGCTCTGGATCTCTGGTGAGGAGAGGAACAAAGATGTTGAAGGATAGTTGGGGAGAATTGGATATTGGGAGGTCTGGTTGATGCGAATGTATGTTCTGTCCTTTTGTGAGACTGTTACTGTTCTCCAGGTTTGACCTTGTGAGGTTTAGAGGGGGAAAGGAAGATAACCTAGATCCTTGTGCTAACTCTGAAAAATATCAAAGTGATTAGTCCAGGCAATTTCTAGAGAGCCCCTGTGATCTCCCTACATAGGTATTTTATGTGGAATAGTTTTAGAATATAAATGACAGTCATGAACACAGTAAGTGAAAATAGAGGAAGGTAAATACTTTTAAAACTTAATTCTTTGGGGGCATAATCTTTCATTGTTTTTATTTCAGGAGCCAGTGGGGATATTGTGCTGACCCAGGATGCACACTCCATTCCTGTAACTCCTGGAGAGTCAGCTTCCATCTCCTGCAGGTCTAGTAAAAGTCTCCTATATACTAATGGCAAAACTTACTTACATTGGTACCGCCAGAAACCAGGGCAGTCTCCAGAACTTTTGATCTATCTAACATCTAACCGTGCTACTGGAGTCCCAGACAGGTTCCATGGCAGTGGGTCAGGGACAGATTTCACACTGAAAATCAGTAAAGTAGAGGTTGAGGATGTGGGTGTTTATTTTTGTCAGCAAGGTCTAGAACATCCTCCCACAATGTTACAGTCCTGAACACAAACCTCTGTCTGGGGAGGCCAGCTGCTACATGTTTTCTTAGTCTGGAAAACATCAAAGCAAATTCTCTAAGTATGTATGAAAAAGAAACAGCTAAAGAATTGCTTATAATTGTGTATAACTGAAACTTTACAATGGGGTGATGCTTTTCTTCATATCAGGTATCACAAGTCTGCTTTGACATTGTTGGAATACAAACATAACTGCAGGACAAAGATTCCTTTCAAAATAAAAAGAAATGGAGGACTGTTTTTCAGAGAATCTTCATTCTCTAGAACATGTCAATATGGATGTATAATTCTCATCATGAATCATAGTCAAAGAACAGAGTTTGAGATTGATGTGAGTTACCCATAGTTACTTTCCAAAAAAATTTTTGCAGTTATTTTTGTTTGTTTTATGGCTGATACATGGTCAGTACAGAATGAAAATATTAAGATAACTTCTGTTTTTATTCCTTTCTACCTCATCTTAACATAGGTCATTCTCCACTTGAAAATGAATATACAGAAATACTTCCACCTTCAAGGAAGTGGCCTAGGGCCACTATTCATTTTTGTTTTTTATGCTTCAGGGAAGATCTTGGTAAATGTATACCACAAGCAAATGCCAATTGCCAGAGGACACTCACATATGCAGTAATGGCATGGGAGGAAGATAAGACATTCAAAGGTGATCATTTGAAATAAAACACAAGCCTGGACTTATGAGATAACAGCATTATACATTTGCTTAACAGAAAGTGAGTGAATAAAATCAACAGCAGCAACAGCAAATATTCTCAAAGCCAGGAGATTATCATTCAAGAAAGTAAGAAGGGGAGTGGGAAAAATGTAAAAAGAATCTAAACATGGTGATTTCCTCCCTGTGGCAAAAGAGAAGCATTAATTCCTTTGTTGTGGTGTCCTGGCTAGTATTGTGGCAATTAATAAACAGTTTGAAGTTGTCTGTAAGGATGAAACCTCAGTTAAGAAAATGCCTTAATATGATCCAGCAATAAGACATTTTCTTAATTAGTCATGCATTGGTAAAGGCTAAGCCCATTGCAGGTGGTTCCATCTCTGGGCTGGTGGTCCTGATTTCTATAAGAAAATAGGCTGACCAAGCTACAGTGAGCAAGCCATTAAGCATCTCTCCTCCATGTTATCTGCCTCTACTCCTGCCTTCAGGTTCCTTCCCTCTTTGACTTCCTTTGATAATGAACATTGATATTAAAATGTAAGCCTTATGAACCCTTTGCTCCCCAAGTTTCTTTGGTCATGGAGTTTCACTGCAGCAATAGTCAAGTGCAACTAAGACCGGTGGCATCACAACTCCAGCCAAGAAATCTAAATAAACAAAAGAACAATAGCAGGAGCTGGTCTGGAAAGAGTATTAGAAACAAGAGGACAATAACACAACAAGATGGAAAGTCAGTAGAATTCAAACAGTAGAGGAGAAAGGGGAATGAGAAGGTGCTTAAGAGAAATTTGACTGAAAATAGAAACGTAAATAAAAAAAATAATCTACAGTAAATACTTCAAAATACAAGAAATAGAATATGCAACTTTGTTCAAAGCAAATAATGGGAATTTGAATTAGAATTTTTAAATGATAAAAAGGAATCAGGCAGAAGGAAAATTTCAACATATCAGGTTTATATTCCATACATACATGAAAAAAATCTGAGAAGAAACAAATCCTGGGTTCAGAGATCTGGTAAAACACCTGTTAGAGAAGCAATTACTAGAGTTCCAGCATATTCTGTATAGCTCCTTTGGAAGAAAACAGACTTTTAAAGAAAAATAGGTTCTATCACAATTTTAAACTTTGTAGCACAAGGCATTGAAACTTCCCCAGGAATCCCATTTTGGGGTAAGGAAAAGACTAAAAGCACAGGTTATACAAGAATGGGACTTTTAACAAATCATCAGAGTATTTTGTAAAGGACATGATAATTATGGGACAATAAGGATTAATAAATAGTGGTAAGAACTGATCTTGACCAAAAACTCCTTAATTTTGTTCATCTTTTCTCTTTATTTAGACTAACTTCCAAGTGTATCCCAGAGTTGGAATCTCTTTGTCCCTGTATTGTTAGGACTTAACTGTACTTCAAATATGGCAGTACTCCTGAAAATGTCCCAAATGGTTCAAAGATCCTGTGCAAAGAGGGCTCTCACTTGGCAAATAGAATGATTAAAATCAGGTAAACAAAAATCTAAATTAGGCTTTCCTCTGAAACCTTGTAAGGTGTGTTGCCGCTTGTCTAAAGAGTTATTATTTCCCTTATCTTCCCCCCAATAATCTACTAATTCAGGCAAAGGGCGTCAAGCTCCTGATTAGCCCAAACAGGCTCTAAAAATAACACCAACATCTTCAAGCTGATTCCCAGGCTGCTCTGGCTTGCATCCCACAACCTGATGCTACCTTTCTCCAATAAAAGTAGGAAGAATATTTTCTTAGGCAGTCTGGTGGTTTGTGTCCCCAAAACACACATTTCTTTTGCACATATAATGTTCTAGTTGGGTGGTTTTATGGTTTTTTCTTACATTTATTTATTTGTCTTCCCAAAGAGCCACTCTGTGGAAAACAGCAGATAACAAAACAGAGCAATGTAGCGGCGTAAATGAAGGCAGACAGAAATTATAATAATATATTCAGCTTTAATTGGGAAAAGACTTACAGAACCAGAGGTTCCAGTGGAGAACAGGAAAGCAGAAAGGAAGGAAGAGAGCACACCAGCAATATTTATTAGTAAAAAATATCCTCAGGTGATCCCACCCTACAAGCAAGGTGATTGGCTGGGGCTACCCCTACAGAGCAAACAAAATCCCCCTTAACTTTCTATTATAAACGCTCCCTATTTTTAAAACTTTTACTGGATGAAACCTGATAAATGCTATGATAGATTATGGTCTATGAATATAACAGGAAATCATTAGTAATCCTTTCTTTTTGGCCAGTCATTTTTGGGTCTATCCTAAGACTTTACACAATCATGCCTCTGGTGCCAGACCAACAAGAAAAGTGTCAAGCATGGGTTACCTCTCCAATCCTGGTATGAGCCTCAGGTTGTACCAGTCATTGGTTGTCAATACTCACACTTTCTGAGACACCATTACCCAAGCACATGTTTAAGAAAGGACAAACTGTAGGTCAAAATTTTTGGTTCTGGGTTGGTAATCCAGTTCCAACACATGGAACATTGTCTGGTTAACAAAGATGGCCAGTTCAGGCTATATATCCCCCATAGCTACGTGTCTTCACTATTGTCACCTTCATAAATCCCAAGTGGTATCCAATGCACAAGAATTGCCCCCAAATTCTGGTTGTCTCTTACTGTACTCTCTCCTTCCATCCCTCTCAACCCTTGACCCTTGCTGTTCCCAACACTAATGGTCTCTAGGTCATTCTGAAATCTATCCTATTTTTTCAAGTGGAATCCACCACCCATTTAAGTGCTCCATGTTGCTTAGCCTCTTTGGGACTATATTTTAAACCTTATTACCTTAACAGGTTACATCCATGTATAAAACCAGACATGTTGAACCTGATGGAAGATGAAGTGGTGAATAGCACTTTGACCACATTGGCACAGCAGATGATTTCCTAAACAGAAACCAATAGCTCAGGCAATAAGATCAACAGTTAATAAATGGAACCTCATAAAGATGAAATGATTGTTTAAGCCAATGGATACTTTTTTGTCCAGTAGGACAAAATGGCAGCATAAAAATGGGAAAAGATTTTCACAAACCCCACTTCTAATAGAGGATTAATATCTAAAATATGTAAAGAAATCAAGAAACTAGACCTCAACATACCAAATAATCCATTTTAAAAATGGGTACAGACTTAATCAGAGATTTTCAATAGAGGAAATTTAAATGCTTGAGTCAAACATAAAGAAATCCTCAAAATTCTTAGACATCAAGGAAATGCAAGTCAAAGCTAGTGTGAGATTTCACCTTACCCCTGTCAAAATGACTAAGATCAAAATCACAAGAAATGGCTTACAGTACTGGGGAACCAAACTGGGTCTGCTACAAAATTAATACCTGCCATAAGCTTCTGGACCATCTATCTTGTCCATTAATTCATATTTCCTGTTTCTTTAAGTAAAATGCATTGAAATTAGTTCATTGAGGCTAGCTTGTTAGGGCTCTCATGTCTCAGATTATTATTCTAAAAACTCTGGTAACAATTGGTCAAACATATACTCAAAGTCTAGGTAAATAATTGCAGCATAACAGTTTGCACACAGATCCATTTACTCTCATGTTGTTTCTATAAGTTGAGGAAGTAGAAGAGCATCAACTATAAGGAAAACTGGGTAAAGAAATAAGGTCAAAGCTGTAGTAGTTCTTTATTTTTAAGATCCACTGAAGAACTAATAGAAGTGGTAAGAAAGCAACACACTTGATGAAGAGATTTATGCTACATTTTTTCTAACATTTAAGTAATTTTAACCATTTTATCTGTCTCCTAAATACAATTCAAAATAGAAATCTAGTTAACAGATGTATTTGTAAATAACATATAATTTATCTCATTTAAAACTGTGTATGGTAGCTCTCCTGATTCCAATTACTTTTCACACCAGGAGCAAATTATTCAACATTTAATGCCATTACAAAATATTATTTGTGTCATAATATGTAATCATGTTTGCCATGAAGTAACTATCCTTCTATACCATGTGAAGCTGATAAAATTTTCAAGTACTATTCAGTTAGCAATTAACATCATGAGTTTGAGTATGGAAAAATTAACATTTTCTTCCAATTTGGTGAAAGAACACAAGCTGACTCATTTGTTGAGGAGCTCTGACCCACTACCATATTCTGTAGTGTCTATCTCCCATGGATCTGGGGGTCAGAAATGATTGCCCTGAGGAACTAAACTTTCAGTCTATTTTCATTCAGCTATAGTATAGGAGGTCCTTCTGTCTATGTGTTGCTTTCATTGGTTAATAAAGGAATTGCTTTGGTCCTATAGCAGAGCTGTGGGGAACA